AATGCTTATTCCCTTAATCTCATTTCCTGAATGTTTTTCTTATAAATAACGTAAGTAATTACATGAATCACTTGTTGACTCATAACAAAACGTTTGTGAGCAGCGCCAGTAACGTCCGAGTTGTTCGGAGTCAGTGACCTTTGCTTGGGTGGGGTGTTTGGCACGTGTCTGTTTGTTTGATGACGACGTCACGGGAATTGCTGTGAGGATTCCCCCCTGCTATGTAGACGTCTGTCTCGCTGGGGATTCCCTACTCAATGGCTTCCGCGAGCAGAAACGCGTGATTTCATGTAGCGAGCGATTTCGAACCTCGAGTTATAGCATGCGAAGAGATGGATAGACTGACGATTAATACGCTGCATGAATGTATTGTATTCGGGTTTTGCTCGTGTATGGAATACGAAGTAAGTGTCTTCATAATATTTCTGTTCGTTGATGGGGCATTGACATTTATGTATGGAGATCGAAAATGGACTGATAAAAGAATACAATTTCTTCCACTGGGCGGTCGGTACAGAAGAGAACTGAACTAATGGACTGTAGGTTATATTCGTGTAAGGAACGGTCTACATGTAAGGATGCTTATACAGTGAAATTCAGTAATGAGACGTATGTACTGACAGGCAGCATTTCTTTATTGCACTTCAACTTATAACAACTTATAAGTTTAAATTTTTCTGAAAAAGCCGCTTTAAGTCTGTAGAAACACACATATTTTCAAGTGTCTCATTAGAAATATATTATGGGACAACAGTGTGTTTATAAATTCCTGACTGAGACTTCGCTTATAGAACCAGATAAAAATTATACTGGTAGACCTGGTTTAGGGAGTATACCGTGCATGTTAGTCTGTTGGATTATATCCGACCTCGTTAGATTCAGTTGTCCTCGCCAAAAATTCTTTCACTAATATCTGCTGTTATATTTTCTTGTTCAATGTTTCAACAAATTCTTAGCAATTTATTGTTCATCGTTCGTGACATGTCTTAGCCGTCTTCTCTTATGTTTACCTACCAACAGTGCTTTTTGAAGAGCATGTCTATACATTATGAAGTTTTATTTATTTCTCCATTATCTAGCAGATTGTCGCTTACTCGAAATGTTTCCTGGTTCTCTACTTAGGACTCTACTTGTTCTTCCATCAGGGACATAATATTACTAATAAAGCTTACAAAACAAAAGAACATGTGTATGAGGTATTTTCGTAAACCATATCTGCTGTTATATTTTCTTGTTCAATGTTTCAACAAATTCTTAGCAATTTCTTGTTCATCGTTCGTGACATGTCTTAGCCGTCTTCTCTTATGTTTACCTACCAACAGTGCTTTTTGAAGAGCATGTCTATATATTATGAAGTTTTATTTATTTCTCCATTATCTAGCAGATTGTCGCTTACTCGAAATGTTTCCTGGTTCTCTACTTAGGACTCTACTTGTTCTTCCATCAGGGACATAATATTACTAATAAATCTTACAAAACAAAAGAACATGTGTATGAGGTATTTTCGTAAACCATGGTTGGGGGTAATTGTATAGAACTTTAACTGAATGCAGTTGCGTGGAGTCTTTTGGTTAAATTTTGCAGCAAAGTCCAATTTAGACCACTTATTAAGCCTTCTATGACCATAATGACAAGGTTTTTGAACATAGTACATTTCTCGTATTAAGGTCCCTCAACTTTAACTCATGGGTCTACTGACTGAAAAATCATGTTCGACCGTCCTCATGTTTTCTATGCATAGAGTATATAAAGTGAACCGATAATCGGAATGTATGTGCGTCATATGAATTTCGGTTTTGCGGACCTACTCTGAAAGATGTCGAGCAAATTTATTTGTTGTTTATATCGGACATTACTTTACATGAAACTCAAATGCAGTTTTATCTTAATTCTCGTACATTTCTCAACGTACTGAAATTATATACGTGATATAAATATAGACGTCAATAAGATGTAAAGCCCTCATTTGAAGCATTTGTGATCACAAATATAAAATGCTACACTGACCCACAAACTTGTGTGTTCAGGATCTGAAATGACACTTCTCAGTTTCAAGTTCCCTGAAGATAGTTCTAGAATCAATTCGTACTTCGTAACTCATATTAAATAAAAACAAAATGACTCCTAAAACGTTAGAGAAGGCATGGTGTGATTTCTTTCGTCAAATTCCTATATCTTGCCGTCAAACAAAATGGCAGGTTGTCAGTAAATGTTAATAATTTAGGGTCATTTGAAAGAAAATATGCAGGTAATGTTATGTGACAAAATTCTTCGTAATCTGTATGCATTAAACTCTGTTAAGGGTTGCTTCCGGCATGTTCAAAATATATCGTCATGTTGAACAATACCAAAATGTTTCCCAGTGACATCTCGGTTACAAGCAACACTATATAAAGATCTTTGAATCTGCTGAGCGCAGACAATAGTTGTTGGATAGACACTTTCATTCCATTAGGTCTACCTTAGCGTTGTACAAAAAGAGAAACGAAATAGGAAGAAGATCTACTCACGTCAAAGTGAATAATCGAGTTTGACCGAAAAGAATTCGCAAGTGTCACACTGAATTGTCCCAGAAATAACCTGTCGGGCATGAAAACAACAACGAACCAGTCGCCGCTCCAGATACGTTTTTGCGTCGTCCGTTGTACGATAATTACCTACCTAGCTGCGTTTGTATGGAATGTAAGTACGGAATTTATTTTTGAAAGCGTCCTATGTTGCAACAATAACAGTGTACAGTTCCTTCACTTTCAGAGCTATATTTGGTTTGCCTGATCCATCTTGGCCACATCTGTGGTTATTCCGGGTCATCTTGAAAGTGGAAAGTTTCTTTAGAGTTTGGAGATGGGGTGTGTGCTATATCAGACCGAAAGCATATATTTGGCACCTTCTGTTTTTTATTCAAATTATTTTTGATTTGATAGGCTGAAGATGAAGCTAATGATATTGATCGAACGTAATGATTTCGACTTAATTGAAGCACTAAATAAATATTTTATTGTCACATCAGATATTATGTCACTTCTAGGAAAAATAAAAGCCTGTATTAATTGACATTTTAATTCTTGCTGTTAAAATATTGTTTGTGATTAATCGGTCTACTTTTTGACGTAAATACGTTTATAAGGAAGGGTCATTCCGCAAAAAAGTGTAACGAAAAAGGAAAACGAAAAAGTGTATCAAGTGTACCTAGGGAACGTGGTGTTTACTCGGAATTGTTGTTACATTACTTTACATTACATTCAGCTACCACAGACCCATCTTAAGCGTAACTAATTCAAGTTGATTAAGCAATGTCTTAATCAAATTTATCTCAATTGTAAAGCATGTATAAAGGAAATATTTAGAATAAAGCCAATATATAAACTTCCTTTCCGTATAGACGTATTTACGTCAAATTCTCCGGAACCGTGGTTCCACTGTCACTTTTTCTTCACCGACCACATGTGTCGTAAATATAACTGAATCTCCTCTTATTTTCAGTATGTCGTTTGGCTTTTTATATTTTCGTCACATGTGGTTAACAACCTACCGGCCTCAGACTAGGTTGTTTTCTGGAGTAGGCTTGCATTATGATAGTACTTCATGCAGAAATGCTTGCGTTCATATGTCTGTGTTTAGAATTTCACTACGAATTCGTATTATGAAATTTTATTAATCAGTCTTTTGCTAGTCCGATTTTAATGACAGTTAAATTCTAAAACTATTTTATCGAATTTCTTTATGTGCTGCGGTACTATTTTGCTCAATTTTTGTGTGTTTCTTTGTGGATGCTATAAGCAGCTGTAGGTTAATGGACGGACGTTTGAGAGAAGTGGACATTTTATTCTTCAAGGCACTTCATTGTCATTATTCTGGAAAAGAATGATGAAACCCATTAAAATTTGAGTAAGACTGATTGGTACCTATGCGGAGATTCGACCGGGACTTTTCCACATAAACTGAAATACTTCTATCACTTTTCTTCTGTAGTGGGTAGTATATTGGTTCTTAACGCAGTAGTTACTAAAATATTCAGCGTGTAATATATCAACTGAGTGACTAATTAACTCATTCCAAGTAGCAAAATCCTTCGTACGAAGCTATTAGTCGCGCATGAAGTTAAATTCGTTGTATTGTATGCAATACTAGGATGCATTATCGTATTCACAAGAGCCAGGCACAATTCTGGGACCTTACGTTATGGGACACTGCTTTTGATACCACCTCATAATTTCGCGCTCCCCCAGTGCTGGTATATCCCATAGTTGGAAATAATAATCAATAAGCCTGATGGCGTATAGGAATATGACGTTTATACCACGTTCCAGTTGGTTCAGAATTATTAAAGTGGGCGACAGATTCTTGGAAATTATGATATCGTAAACCTATATTTCCTCATTAGATGTGGAACATGGGCTAAAAATCAGCCATGTGATCAGGAACCTTTGCGAGTTCTTCAGAAACACATTTATGCACACATTAGAGAGAGAGAAAGGCATTCACGCATGTAATCAGTATTTGTACATTAAATTGCTTTTCAGATTGTATGAAGTCAGTTTTATAATATCTGCTCTACTTAGACTCAGTAAGACCTTAGTGTTGGTTGAGTACACTTTAGAGACTCAATTCCAATTAACCATTGCAAAAGACTTCTTGTTCTCCCAAACAATATTTCAAAAAAGCTAATAGGCCCTATTACATGGAACTACCACGCTTTCCGTGTGTTTCCCATGATTTTCGATGATTTTATTGTGATCACCAGACGAAACGCAGTTCTTCATCTGCCTAAAAGGACATGATTAAAAACCCGTTTGATTCCAGCCAAACGTGTATCAGCTGTACCAATATTTTTTTCTTCGCTCTTTCAAAATAGATTTTAAAAGTCTTTCGTCTGACATTCTGTCTAGACGTACACATTTCGTCTGTAGTAAATATATGTATTCTTATGTAACTTCTCTAACATGAACATTATTCATTCTGTTGAAGCGAGTACATCCATGTCACCTGAATTAGACACACTGTATCAGTACATTAGGCAATTTTGTGTGAGAGCCAAGCTGAAACTCATAAGGTCTTCTGGATTCTTATGCCATGCAATCTAGTACGAGAAGTTTACCGACGTTTTGGAGGTGTGTTCTGCCTCCATCATTAGGGCAATGAATAGCCTTCATCACTCTGATATTCAATGCGGTAAGCACTTCTGAAACGTCGGTAAACGTCTACAAAGTTACACGGCGCAACAACCAAGACGACAGCCATCTTCATAATCGCCGTTCTGAGACCCTAAAGTTTCACTTAACTGCAACACAGTCAGGAGCCAAGATGTTTATAATATTTGTGTATACCTGATAAAAAAAAGAAATAATTAGCGTGGATTGCAGGACGCAGTATTAGTACGCTCTGTTGGCATGCCTGTTTCGAATTTAAGAGCCAAGTGTCACACGGAAATGCTGTGGCAACGATTGTAGAAATAAAGACACAGGGTATTGAGGCATAGATTGGGGATAAAACAATTTCTGCTCTGAATCAGCATGCCGGAAGTGCAATTTTATTTTTTAAAGTTTTTTATCTTTTATGAGGTATGCCTCCGCACGACGTAGCTCATCTGTTATGCTCTTTTAGCATGTAATGACATTGGTGACAGTGAATGACGAATTGAGACATTGGGGAAGAAATAGAATGATCCACCCAGCACCTTTGCTACCCACATGGGTCATATAGTTTATTCTTCTCTCTCTCTCTCTCTCTCTCTCCCCCCTCTTCAGAGCGTGAGAGGTAGTGAACCAATGAAAATTAAATAATTCGTTTCAGGCACGAAATGAAATTTTGAACGTACGTTGGGATAAGCACGTGATGTAATATTACTGGGATATTTTGGTGTTATATTGGAAGAATATTACGCTTTTCTGTAGACTTTTTGCTTCAGAGATATTACCGTGCTACAGCCCGTAGGGGTTTAAGATGAATCCTTGTTAGATAAGCATTATGGACGGAATTGCCATTCTAATCGTGGTTCTTTTGTAACAGTAATTTTCTTTACTTTCAATTTCTTTGTTCTTTCGAGGCTCAAAGTTAAATAACATTAAATTCAACTGCGTCGTTTCGTTCGAATTTATGCTTTGGATATTGGTGAAATATTAAGGGGAGATCAGAAAGTCTTCCAGTACTTGAAATATTGTTTTTGCCTTATTAGTACTGTCCTTAGGATGTGAGCCTAGGGTCTAGAATAATGAATATTGATTGTTTCATGCAGAAATAGCTGTTCGTTTAAAAATTTCGAAGCCATTATTTCTGGAACTAATAACGTTAGACTTCTCAGGTTATATATTTTCATGGATTTAATGGAATTTTGAACCGGCGAGGAGAGCAATTTGTGTTAACACTTATGTGCACTATCAGGTCATTTATTATCTCTTAAATCAATTTCTTTATTTATTGTATAAAATGACTCAGATATAAGTAATGTATATCTCGTTAATGTCTCTATAATGTATTTTCACTGTGATGAATGTTAATTGGATAAAAGTTAAGTTTATTTAGACTTTGAAGAAAAGCTAAAGTCGTTATCCTTAATCACAGTTAATTAATCAAACTTCCTTTTGATCTATATACGATAAACATTATTAGACCTAGATACCCTAATTGTACTTCTGACCCGATAGGAATTGTATATTCATATTTCATGGTATTTGTTAGATTCTACCGCTGAACTTGGGCGTACGTGATATTTAAGCCTGAATACAGGGGCAGCATGTTTATTCTAAACCAGCGTATCTCAACCTATGGTACGCGTACCACTGGTGGTACACGAGCCAATGTTGAGTGGTACGCGAACTAATTAAGAAAATCAAAATATGATATTAACATTAACAAGTTTTCCCTGAACGCATTTGGTTGGTGGTACATTTAGTTTGTTAAATTATAATTAGTGTTACGCCAGCGAAAAATGGTGAGAACCCTTGTTCTAAGCGATTGTATCTGCTTACAAGTCCACAAGACATATTTTGCGCCCCGAGGACCTCATATCTCAAATACGTTTCTGTTTCTCCTGCCGGGAATTCGTATAAAACGGAAAATATTTCAATAAAGTCTGAGCCTGTATTTTATTTTATATGCGTTTCTAAGGTTGTGATCCGTTTGCAAGAAGAAACCCTAATGCGAATCTTTCCACACCACACAACTTCTGCTTGACTATAGACATAAAACTCCTGAAGATATTAATTTTCAATTATATTCGTTACACTTTATATGACTACTTTATTTAATAAACTAGTCTTATTACGT